AAATATTTACAAAGTCCATACCTGTAGTGTTTTATCATCTCCCTTGAAGTGTAACACATTCGAAAACTTAAGCTATCAACTTCTAGTATCGATTATCAGATTTTCTTCATCTTACACTTAAATTATTGTTGATTGTTTTCATTACTAAATTTAAATGCATTCTATGTACTTACTGAGTCGTAGGCTTACCTTTTCACTTCAAGATTCTCCTCTCACACATACTGCTCCTCACGCTCTCCCAACACACAAGGTACCTTAAGGTTAGACGCAAACCTAACAAAGGCTAAACGCTGTAGAATCTTCTTTACAATCTAAAACAAGTCGGTAGTTTCAAGAACAGTTTAATGTAATACAACATATCTACAATCCTAATAAGAGTGTGACTAACAATAACATTTATATGCTATTATGGTGTCTGCTACTTATGTCAACAGATATAAGCAGTACGTAGCACCAATTAGAAGTGGGATGCATGTCAGTAGAAGACAGAAACTTCAATTGTAGAGAATGGAAAAGGAAACAGAAAGTAATTGTAATAACAACAGAATTAAAAGAATCATGAAGCATGTAAAGAACAATCTATGGAAGTTGTGTAAATTATGTATTTTAATGTATGATTTTCATATTTTTTCGAAGCCACTCTGTAATTTTGTACTAAACAATAATTTCGTATTTCCTATCCTATAGATAATAAACCAAAATACACTATGTGATACTATCCTAAGAGAAAAGACCAACTGCATCTTATCTTTAAATAGTTAACAAACGGGTCACTGATACTGCAAACCGACCATATTAGACTTCGGAAATTTAAACAGTAACAACAACTCTAAGCTTTTAGTAAATGCTGAAGGATATTGAACATTATTATTATTATTATTATTATTATTATTATTATTAGCTTTATTCAATATTATAATTTTGGTACAATATAGAATTCTCAGCGCAAAGTATTTCAACGAGTTTCCGTTTCTTTCTTCTTGGTCGGTCCTGGCGATAAATATTGAGGAATCGCCAGTTAGATGTTAGCACTTCAGTGAATGAACAACTGAATAATGTACATTCTTTTCGTTGTATATTGCCAGCAACCATATTGTCTCTTATTGAGTTTTCTGTAACTTTGACAACGAAAGGTTGTACACTTTTCAGAAACGCAGCAGAATAGGTTATGCGATTAATAAACATAATGATATATTAAAACAAACAACAATAGATAACTTGTTGAAATATCTAGATGGCAGGAACAGGTAGCCCAGAAGCTCAAGCAGGCCGCCCTATAATTTAAATAAACGTATGGTTATCTTGAAAACATTAGGGTTTAATTAAGCCTAAATAAATGATTACATCGTTGTTATGGTGACGGTTAAAATCACTTGATTTCGTTTTTTTAATTAGTTTTAATTAAAGTCTCGTCTTTATATTAGGATTTCTTTCATAGAAAAAAAAACAAACTAATTAAGTATATTTCCGTGGATAAACTATGCATAAATATTATTAATGTATAACTCAAACACGGTAATTGCTTGATTGGGCGTTTCTAATGACTGAAATACAATATAATCCTAGTTCATTCATGAATATCATCCAAGTGTACAATGATATTGAAAACTTATTAGTTGCCCACCCCAATTTATGATCTAGAATGAGCTACATACTGTATACATCTTATAACTGCCTAGATAGTCGTCATCTCAATGGCTGTTTACACTGTATGCAAAAAATCGAATCTGTTATATTTTGTAGAGATCAGATTGATTTTTAGGTGAATTTTATCATTGATTGAAGCTAGTAGTACTATGATTGAAAACTAGGGAGCACTTTACAACTGTTTATTTCACAGTATGAGACTACTCAGCAGTATGAACACACAATTTGATCAAAGATCAAACAGAGGACGTTTAGGTCTCCATACAGCTCTATCAGTATTAAGGACCAAACAAACATCACATTAGTTTCGACTCAATGATCAGTCAAAATTAAGAAGTGAATAAGATAAAGCCTAACAAAATCCAGGTCAATATAGAATATCACTGACTGAGAGAGGTGACACGAAGTGAATGCATATTTGTCGAGGTCTACGAGATAATCGTTTGCGACTAGAGAAATTTTACACAGTTCAAAATCAATCACTATGATATTAATACATTCATACATCTTACTGATACTTATCATTCCCTAGTTTAATTTACTTTGATAAATTATAACTTCTGTATGGATATAAGAATTTTGCGACATAATTTGAATGAATCGTTTCACAGTAGTTGGATGCTGAATTAATATGAGACACTAGATAGAAAAAATTATTTATAAAAATCACAGCGATTGAGCTTTAAAAAAATTCAATGTTTCATTCGGTTAGTCAGTCAGCTACAACGTAGGACCTGGCACACAATCGGTAATCTGATTGAAACTTTTTCAAGGAAATAATTTCTACAAATATAATTTCCTTCTTAATGATCAGTTTCCTATACTTATTGATACACATTATGTAGATTCATTTAGCCAATATTTGTTTTTCAATATTCTTACCTATTGTTCTAATGTTAACTTAAACAGCGTCGAATTGATTAATTACGTACGCGAGATTTTATACGGTTTATAAGTAACTAAACTCAGGATGTAGCTCTTCTATGGCTACTGCCCGTCCAAAGCCCAAAACAGGACGAGGGCTGGGCATGTAGTCAGCATACCCAGCCCGTAGAAAAACAAACTTGCTAAGAAAAACGCTAACCAGAATAAACAATTTAAACCAATTAAACTCTGCCCTTCGACTTCAAGGAAAAATTATCAAGCCTCATGTTGAAAGCTCAGCGTTTTTAGAAGTCACGAGATCGATGCCCCTTCTAACAACCACAGCAACAATGGGTATACGTACATCTAATGTTCAGATAATGAGGGAGAACGAAAAGAACCAACCAAATCAAATTGCAGAACCGGATAAAAGACTCAATAGATGCCCAACTTCGAGATCAATAGGTTGGATCCCATAAGGATCGGTCAAGCACAGATCAAATCACGACACTACGGATCATCGTCGAACAATTAGTTGAGTGGAATTCGTCACTATACATCAACTTCCTTGTTTATGGAAAAGCATTTGACAATGTGGATAGGATAACATGGTGCACATTTCTCCCATATTATGACCTATATGAGAAAATCATCAACAACATCATACGGAATTCATACGACAGACTACACTACAAAGTCGTCCATGGAGGACACCTCGCAGACACATTCCAAGTGAAGAACAGAGACAGAAAACACTGTCATTAATCAATCTCCCGGCAGACGACTGCATTATGAAGACCTCCACATCTGACGGGAAACACGGACTACGATGGACAACTTCGATGCAAATAGACGATTTGAACATCGCAGATCACCAAGCTCTTCTATCCCATACACTTCACTAAATGCACAAAAACACAAACATTTTAGCACCTACCTCTGCTGCAGCAGACCGCAACACATACAAAGGATAAACCAACATCCTCAAATACAACACATAGAACACCAACACTATCACACTTGATGGAGAAAATCTGCATCAGATCAGGTGGAAATCTATACATACATACACAGGCAGCATCATCGATGAACAAGAAGCACCTGATGCAGACGTGAAGGCGAGCGTTGACAAAGCAACGATCGCATTCCTACAGTCTAGCAACTCACGGAACTCAGAACAACTGTCTGCGAGTCAACATCAAATTCAGAATCTCCAACACCAACGTCAACACAGTTCTACTGTACGCAGATGAAACTCCAACAACCACTACAACCATCATCAACAACATTCAAGTATTTATCAACAATTGTCTACGTGAGATACTCAATGTCATTTGACCGGTTGCTATCAGTAACAGCATCCTGTGGGAGAGAACAAACTAGTTTTGAACTGAGGAGGAAATTAGGAAAAGTCGATGGATGTGGATAGGACATATATTGATGAAATCATCAAATTGAATCATGAAGCAAGTGCTAACATGGAGTCGTGAATGGAAGCGAGAAAGTGGAAGACCAAGGAACACACTGTGTTGAGAATTGGAAGTAGACATGAAACGGATGAATAGCCAGTGAAAGGAATTGGAAAGGATTGTCCATGACAGAACTGGATGGAGAATGCTGGTGAGTGGAATATGATCCTCCATGAGGGGTAACAATCGTATGTCATTAAGTAATAATTAACTAATCGATTAATTTACAACAGTCAATTATAATTAATATAAGCCTTAGACCGAATCACAATACCATAATTAAAACAACAAAGTCAAATTCACAAGATGATTGGTAATGAAGTTGAAATCATATAGTAGCAACGATAGTGTGAAAGTCCATTTATTAAGAACATAATTCGAGACGACAGATCAAAACATATGATGAAATACTTGAACTGAAGATCTAGTAAAGGATGAAAAACTAACCTATCTGGGCTAATGTATCCAATTCTGACTCATGTCAGTCAGAATCTTCAATTTGTAGTCTCAATAAAATCGAAAACTCCAATCAAGTAGTTTTAACTGTGAGTTTGATCCATTCAACAGATAAAGGAAAAGAAACTTCTAGTGATTATTATATAACAATATTTATGTGTATATATATTTATTCGTCATCTTTTTTCCCCAGTTCATTTACATTCTAACATATTTCTACGTCGTAATCTATACATAAAAACGTACACCTACAAGTATATATATAATAAACTTATCAAAAAACCCATATCTATATATATTTAGATATTGAGATTAATACCAATGTACAATATTAGAGAAAAATACAGAATAAAAATAGATTTTTTTTTTGCATTAAAACAAAAGGAGAATTAGGGATAATTAGAATGAACTGTTAGGGTGTGGGAGACGGGGGGCCAAGTCGATTAGACTGAGTCGAATTAGGTAGAAACAATTTATTATGTACAGAGGAAATTTTGTATACATTATCAGAGTATTGTTGTTAGCTACGATTTGTGGTGTAATTCTCATTCAAAAGTAATTTAGAATAATAATAATAATAATAATAATAACAGTAGTAAAAATAGTTAAAAGCCGAAATTGTTGAAAATGAGAAGTGTTATTTATCATATATAGTTTATACATAGATATCAATATAATTGGAAATAATAATAATAATAATACACCTTTAAAATCGTAATTGCCATTTATTTTTCTCAATAAATAAGTAGTAATAGTAGTAGTAGTAGTATTTCTCATGATAATAAATATAAAATGATGCATTCTAGAGTTAAGAAAATTGGACAATTCAATAAAAGTATAGAAAGAAACTAAAAGCCTAACAAACAAACTATTGATGGATCAAATTTCAATATTCATTTATACAAATTATAATCAAAATTCATTCATTAATTAATTTAAAATTAAGAGAAAAAAACAAACGATGGCGCTTCATTGTAGGGAAAACAAAACAAAAACAAATAAAATGTGGAATATTAGCATAACACAGAGTAGCAAGATAGAAGAAATTAACAAAATGAAAAGAAATTATTAGTGCAATTGGAAGTATTGGGAACAATAAAGAGAAGGATTGGGTATCTTTTATTTAAACATATAAATGAATATAAGACTTGTATAAAATTATCTATATAAATATATATATATATGCCGTAAAGTTACAATGAGTCAAAACAACTAATGTACTTTCTATGAGAGAAAAAAAAATGTTTTGAGCCTAGATGTACATACATAATTGGCTTGACAACAAAAAAAAAAGATATCAGCCAGAAAGTAAAACAAAAAGAGAAGAGGGAGCTTATAACAAAGATTCTATTGTTCCATAAATGAGAAAAGGCAGGTAAAAGAAACAACTATTAATACAAAAACAAACACAATCACACACATAAACACAAGAAAATTGTTAATGAGAAGTAAAATATTTATAATCGAACAACAAGAAAATAAATAAAAGTTTAATTTTTTTCCTAATAGGAACTATTAGTGCCACAGTGCTATGTTATCACTCGTAGTAAGTAGTGTAGTCGAAGGTAAAATGCACTAGAAAAAATTTAGTTGGTGTAGAAGTGTGTGTATGAAGAAGATACAGACAGACAGACATAAAGAAAGAAGAACATGAACTAGTTCAATTTTCATTTTATTAAATTCACCGTAGCGAGAAGTTATTAACATTATTATTATTATTACTATTATTTTCCTAGAAAGTTGGGGAAAAAAGGCAACACAAATTTAATAGTAATTATAATGATAGTAGTGATAATAGAACTTGGAGTATAGCAGTATCAGTCTATTTGCTGTGAAATTTGCTGGTAATCAGTGACAATATTTGAATAATACAATACACTATCTGATCACCGACATGAATTAATTCATATGTCCAACAGTCGCCAGACGACTATCATTGCTTCTTTCACTGGTTGAACTGCTATTATTACTAAATCGGGAGAGACCATTACTATTATTATTATTATTATTATTACTGTTGTTATTATTCAATTCTTGTAAAGTCAAATGTGAATTAAAGTCAACCATAGCTGAGCGTGAACGAAATTCCAATGGTGGTCGCTCTCGAACAGCTTCTTCAAAATCCTCTAAAGATTCGACGTAACATTGTTTTTCAAGTAAATAATTGATTGTGATCTTAGGCAATGGTAATTGATCAATATGATCACGTCGAATATAAGACAAAATGGTGAAACGTGTTAAATGTCGAAGGGAGGCAACAACCTATAAAATGAAAATTTTAAAAAGAGAAAAATAGAGACAAAATTAAATTTATTCATGATAACAAACAAGGTAGTAATGTTAATTATTGAATGTATGATACATTAACAAATGTTTCATATACTTAATTAAATTAATTGACTATTATACAGAGGTGTGTATATCAGCTAATTGATGATAAATATATTGATAAAACTGAAATGAAAAAGTCTTAGACTGAATTTCAAATATAAACAAACAGTTGATATGTATACACATCGGACCGATTATGACGATTCCTATGAACCTCAAAATGATTAGGTAACACAAAATTGAGACAATATAGTTAAGTAGTCTTTACAGATTCATCAACTTATTAAGCATTTTTAATTAAAACTGTATATATATATATATATATATATATATATATATATATATATATATATATATATATATATGTCATTTAAAAATGACAAAGTATATCATATATAACAGAAAAGGTGACAAGAGGTTATATCAAATCAAATGAAGAGCGTATAACAATATTCACTAATCAAATATTTAGTTAAAACAAAATCATATGTAAAAGTAGTGTGATGTATGCTACTTAAGTTGACAGATATAAGTAGTATGTAACACTAATCAGAAGTGGAATGCCTTGCAACAGAAGATTAAATTGAAAAGAACCAGAAGGGAACACAGAACAATTATAATAACAACAGAATTGAAATAATTATGAAGCATAGTAAAAGACAACTGAATGAAAATATACAAATGATTTATTTAATTTATGATTTTTATATTTTGTGAAAGTACTCTGTAGTATTTGTATTAAACAATAAATTGGTCTTCTTCAGTCAGTCAGTCAGTAACAACGTAGAACTTCGTACGTACCTACATCAGTTCGAGTTGCCACACCACATTAGCACAGAGATGCAGTTTTCGATTCAAATCCCGTAGTGGTAGAGGTAATAAGAGTATAAGCAGTAATCGGGAAGATTAGGGTTTGGAGATGTTATTCAAGGAGTATAATCCAGTGAAATAAACTTGGAAAGAGGAAAAAAGGGACATGAAGAATTCAGAAGATTAGAATTTCGGAGAACACAGAGAGTGGATGCACCTGCGCCATTGCAAACGATTTTGGGCCATGTCATTCAGGGTCTCTAACCATCGGTTGCTATCATCTCGCGGTCCCCAACCAGGTAGTCTACACCTACCAACATAGCTCAGTTCACTTGTCAGTGACTTCATGGACTTGTGCCATGTTTTCGTTTGGCCGCCTCTAGCTTTCTTCCAACCTACTCCTATACCACTGAACATAGCACGTCGAGGTAGTCGGTCGTTGGGCATACGTAACACGTGTCCCAGCCATCTCAACTGATGAAGCTTCACTACTTCATCAATTGATTTGCCATCCTTACCTAGTACCCGTTTCCTAACAACTGTGTTACTTACTCGATGGTCCCAGGATATACGAGCAATGTTTCGAAGACACCTATGATCAAATACTAGTAACCTACGGATATCCTCTACTCTTACCGGCCATGTTTCACTGCCATAAAGTAGGACGGAACGAACTGATGCGCAGTAAACACGTCCTTTGGTTGATAGACGGATATCTCGCCTACGCCATAAATGACACAAGTAGGCAAAAGCTAGTCGAGCCTTTTGTATCCGTGCTGAGATTTCGTCACACACTAAACCAATTATTCAATCACTATAGTAGCTTTATTACAGACATGAAGAATACAAGATATATACATTGAATTAAGATACAATAATTTCCAATCATTGAACACTTTTGCCATTTTAGTAATTAATTTCATGAATATAATGACAATGTTATATTGATAATGTTCAACTCATTGCAATAATAATGTTGTAGTGAACAAGAACACGGGTGGGGACAATCGATTGTATTTAGCACAAAGATTACAGACTATCTCAATAAAATGTGAATACCATAAATTCAATCGTCAATTTGCAAAATATCATTCCATCATATCAAACTGTACTGTTCCCGTTGCAAACACTAATCCATTGTCTCCCATTCCATTGTACATGTGTTTTCTTACAATTCCATTGTGCTCTTGCTCTTCCTTTCTTGATCTTCGCCATCTTCTGCTGCCGGACATTACGTTCTTTTAACGCACGTTATATACTACTTATATGAATATAAGTAGCTCACACCACAATGTGAGTAACTCTATATCATATATTTTACAACAGTTTATAATGTCAGTTATATAAGCTAATACAGTTTTGTCAATTAATATAAACAATGAAATTAAAGTTAGTCTTAACTTAATGGCAAATTATTTAGTTAAATATTAAGTACAGACAACTTGGTATCCTTTTTCTAGCTAAATAGTAACATATAAAGCGTTAACAAATGATATTAATTGGAGATTGAAACTTCAATAACAATCTCTTTACATTAATTTAAGTGATTGATTTGTGTTATCACTGTTCACAAAAATAATATGATACGGAAATTATTGACAGTTTTAACTAATCTTTACTTGAAAGTGGTCAATTTTAACCAAAATCATTTCATTACAACGGATGATATGGTTTGTAAAATTTTTGTCGCGTCTACAGTATAAAAAATAACTGAAAATAAATTACCCTTGTAGTCAACGTCGAATATAACACACAAGTAGGTGTGAGAAACAAGTGGGTGGTTTCGATTGTTGTAAACTGAAATTAAGGCTTTATTGATAAGAGCTATTTCTGCTTTTTGTTAGGCAGATGATCAAAGCTTTGTTCTCCGAAAATCGCAATCCAACGGACTAACATACATTACCAGTATCTTCTACACTTTATGTTGATGATTTATAAAGTCGTAGGTTGACTTGTTATGAGATTACTTTGTTCGTTAGATTGTTGCCAAAGAATTCTTAATTGATATTCTCCAAGGACTGACGTACTTCAAACTTTGTGAAAACTAGATTTAATATCCAGTCACTATCTTTGGACATCTTCATTCGTTGGGAGCCTCTTGTTAGAACATTGAAATAAAGAATACTTGTCCACTTTGCAGATGCAAACGAAACAGAGATTGTACCGAGTTTCAGTTAGATGGTTTTATATTATTGATTAGCTAAATTGACCATGAGTTTGTGACCGAAGTCATTGGTACCATTTATAACAGCTACTGACTGAAAAATGCTATCTGATCAGTTAAACTATAGAGGGGATTTCAGATGAAACGTCGAATATGCTCTGCCAACATACTAACTAGGTTATATTTTGCATTTATAAATTATGTATCATAAAAAATCTCTTTTGTATTTCATTGTTATCCATCTCAAATCAGTTTAAGAGCAAACTGAAACGGTTATAATATCTCACGCCATTCAAAACTTCTAGTCAATTTAAAAATATCCATTCGAAAAATAAGACAGAATTTCCTTACGGAAACATCAACATACTTTTATTTCTTTTTATTTGTCAACCCCATATTTTACAAAGATAAACAATCTTCCACGTAAGGTTACAATAAAATGATCGATTTATTCAATGCGTTACATACTAAAATGAGTAAATACCATTACTTCTAAGTACTGCGTATTTTCTTCCTACGAATCTTGTTTACAAACAATGCATACATAATACATGTAAGACAACCTTAAACATCGTCATGATCAGCATTATGTATGTCTAGGGGGAGAGAAGATGGACATTTTAAGGTCTATTTATTTCTTAGTATTTATTATTATTATTATTATTATTATTATTATTATTATTCCTACTAGTATTATTAGCATTAGTATTATTACTGTAACATTTCATTTTTTAAGAAAAAATTAGTTGAAGTTAGACATTAACACCGTTGAATTGCGGCTCATTGGTCTAGTGGTTAAGTGCTCGGGCGCGAAACCAGTAGGTCCTGGGTTCGAATCTCGCAGGGGGCGAGGTCGTGGATGCGCACTGCTGAGGAGTCCCACAATAGGACGAAACGGCCGTCCAGTGCTTCCAGGTTTCCCATGGTAGTCTAGCTTCAACTGACTCATGATCTTAACCATTGAAAAAATGATTCGTTCCTATCGTAATATGTCATCGATGATGAATAGGTAACTTAAATCAAACAATATAATGAGTTGTAAGTAGGACAATGGATAGAATGAGTTAATTGGTGTACATTTTTGACATGCAAAAATCAATCGATATATAATCGATATATGAGGTAATATTGTGGTGTGTGCTACTGATGTCGATAGATATAAGTAGCATGGATTATCCATAGAAAGAAAAAAGACCTGACAGCAGAAAGTTAAGAAGATCAAAGAAAAGAGAACAAGAACAGAGAATGATTAGTGTGGAAATGAAAAAAAACAATCAAGTCTGAGACTAATTATTGACATTTTCCAAATGAATTATTTATTTGTATGGTTCACAGATTTTACTACAGCATTCTATAATTTTATATTCAAATACATTTGGTTGTCCTTGTTTGTGTTCTTGTTCATTACAATATGACTAGTTCATAACAAATTTAAGAACAAGTTGAGACATGTTTTTCATATTAAGAATTTAATGTAACAACATTTTTTTATTTGTGCTTTTTTTTACCATAAAAACTTGAGCCTTCACGTTTGTTTTTTACGTGATTAACATGTTTACAACTAAACATATAACAATATACACATATATGTACATGAGGAGTCAATGGACAACAGACTAACTGCAACGAATGTATACTACTGTCTCTATAAAAATATACATATCAAATCAACAGGCTTTTAATATGATTATCAAATCTTATAAAAATTCGAAGTGAGAGAAAAAACTTTAAAAATGAAGAGAACAGTATAAGGTGTAATGGAATGAGGTCGAGAGAGATGAAGAGAGAAAATATTAGTGACCAACATAAGTATCAATCGACTTGTAAAATGAGTCACTCAAAAGGCATGAGTACTAGGATAATAATAATAATAATAATAATAATAATAATAATAATAATAATAATAATAATAATAATAATGGTTGAAATAAACAAAAGCGCACATGGAACAACAGCC